ACGAGTTAGCCCGCATAATCCGTACGCCTGGCGCGATTAGAAGGCCGCGTCCGTCGCTTCTGCGGAATTGCTTGTGTCGGTTCGTGGGTGGTCGTGTAAGACAGGCTAATTGGTGACGGCTGAGCGTTAGAATCACAATGGCATTCTGTTTCCTCGCCCTGTTCTGCGCGAGTGTAAACTCTTCACACAGCCGAGTGAGTCAACGTGCAAACTATTTATTGCGCGGAGCTGTTTATAATCTTTCCTCTGGCAGACGCTCATACAAGTTTACATCTCTGGATTCTATAAATTCAACTCGAGCGGTTACACGAGCGCGGCTCGGGTCTTATTGAAAGGAAAACACAATTTGTTTCCACTACGAACAGGACACGGAATTTAGGAATGGATTATAAATAATTCCTATATTGCTCTGCTTCCATAAAACTCCCTTTCCCCAAACTACCCTCTCTGCTCTCCCAAACACTAAATCAGCCTAATGCATTCCAGGGGCGTTAAACAAAAGGTGTGCAAAAAAAGTAGCCACAACCTGAGTAGAACAGCCCGTTCCCTGCCAACGTGCTGCAGAGAAGAATCCTTGCTGTTGGTGTGGAAGCGGTGGTCTCTCTGCAGTGGTTCGACAGCCCTGCTGAAGTCAGAGCTAGAGATCGCCAGTTGGAGGCATGGACTTTGCTTCTCACCGAGCTGCAGGTCTGGCTTTCTCTGAGCAGCAAGGGGGTGTTGGACCTCTGCAGAGAGACCACTACTTCTACACAGCGAGCAAGGGAACTTGTCTGCAGCAGGCTTTTCTACTACTGAACTAAGCTCTCTCCAGCGCTACCCATCAGAAACCTTAATGTGACAATAAGGGAGAACTATGGGGTCAGTGCTTTTCCCCATAGTTCTCCTAAGGGTCACGGGAGGACATATACTAACCTCCTCCCGTCACCCAAAGCTCAGTATATACTGAGACGCCGCAGCCGGGACGGATCCTGACATTGCTATCCATAGGCAGAGCACGCTGTGCCCGCCCCCTCCCCCGTCTGTTCCGCCAGTCAGTGCTGGAGGATCGGACAGGGGAGGGGGAAATCCCTGCAGGGAGCCGTGAGTGACAGTCACGGCTCTCTGCACGGGTCTCTGCAGCGATAGTTTGAGAAGTGAGCGAGCGACGGTATATGTTCGTTCACTTCCCGATCTACTGAGCCGACCTGTGACAGTTTCATTGTCACAGGTCGGCTCAGATAATGAGGCTGAGTGACCGATCTTCTTCTTCTTTCCTGTAGTTTTCAGCTGTCCCTCCAGCGCTGGTACGCGCCTCCGATCCAGCGCTGACTCCTCTGTCCTCCTCTTCGCTCATGTCCCACGGTGTCTGTGCGGGTGCGCGCTGCTCCATAGACTTACCTTGTGTCTCTCCTCGTCTCCCGGCCGAACATCTGAACTGCGCATGCGCCCGCCCCAAGATCCTTTGCGGCCACCCGAGAAATTTTTAGATGTTAGGATGGGAGCGCGCGGCGGAGACACAGGTAAGTATTAACCCTTTAAGAAAGTTTTTTTTTTTTAATCGTTTTGCATATATATATACTACTTGTTAGCCGTATTTATATTCAAAAACAAATGAGGGTTTAATAACCTTTTAAGCCAAGATGTAAAAGGGTTCATCCCCTTGTAAAGTCAGATCTAACCTCATAGACACTTCCGGGAACAGCTCAACTTGCTGAACCCTTGTAGACCCCCAAAAAATCTACCTAAGATGTATATACGCAACTTCAAAAGTTACACACAAGATCTTACGTTTGCACCTTTAGCTTTCATGCCCCCCATATGCCTTTAGATAATTTAAAGGGAAAGTTTAATTGGGCTTTAAAGTGAACCTTCACCCTCCCTACCCACTTTACCTCATTGCCCTCCTACCACCCATTTCTCTCAGAATTGCGCATTTTTCCCTTTGGGACCCCTCCCAGCACTTCGGGAATCCTTGCCTGGGCGAGAATTATGGCCCATTGCCCATGCAGCATCATGAAGCCCCCTGGGATGCGTGACATCGGTATGCTAGTAGGAGTATGGCAGGAGGCTTCAGGCTGCACATCACCAAGGAACCGCTTGTCTCTTGCTGGTTCATGCCGCCAACCGCGGTGCATATGCATCATCGGGGCCGACTGCAAAAACATGGTGGAGACAGCCAGCCCCCAGATAAAGTACGTTTGGAGATGGTGGTGTGGGACCTGGTGTGTGGCGGAGGGTCAGCAGATTGAAACAAGAAAGCGCTGGATTTACTGGACATGTAATTTTAGGATAACCCGGCGAACAAGATAAGTGGTAAAAAAATAATAGAAAGAGGCAAAGTTTTCCTTTAACTGCTGTTCTGATATTGGTTACTTGTATTTATTTTTGTTTATGCTGATATATAAGGACTGATTTATTAAAGGAGAACTATGAGATGAGTGATTTCCACTCACCTCATAGTTCTAGCCGACCTGTGACAATGAGACTGTCACAGGTCGGCTCAGTAGATCGGGAGGTGAGCGAACACATACCGGCGTTCGCTCACCTCTCGATCCTGTCACGGCTCTCTGCCATGACAGGGGAGGGGCTGGATTTCCCCCTCCCCGCTCCGATCCGCCAGCGCTGACTGGCGGAACGGATGGGGGAGGGGGCGGGTACAGCTGGCTCTGCCTCTAGATAAACAGAGCCAGCTGTCACTCACGCAGCTGGGGCGGATCTCGACATTGATGTTGGGATCCTCTCCGGCTGCGGCGTCTCAGTATACCGCGAGCTGTAGCTCGCGGTATACTGAGCTTAAGGTAACGGGAGGACGTTGTTTTGTGTCCTCCCGTAACCCTAAGGAGAACTATGGGGGAAAGCCCTAACCCCATAGTTCTCCTTTAAAGCTTCGCCCAGCGTATAGCTGAAGAAATGCGATTCGTACAGCATTATAGTCGCTAGAGGGGCTGAAGAGCGAAGGATTTCTAGCAGCTGTAATGCCATGTCAGTGGCTGTACACTGGGAAATACCATTATAAATGGACCCCATAGACTCAATATTCAATACAAAAAGTCATTTTCAATATTGTAAATAAAACGTACAATTTTACCACAAACTTCTACTTTCCCTTTAACAAGCCACATTGGATTAATTATGACTACAAATATTCAGCGCCATGCGTCTCATCAGAGCATTTTGTAGCTGGGGAAAAAAAAGTTCCTGAAATCGAAGGACTTCCTGAGTGTGAACAGACCCGGGAATGTCTCCACCACCCCGCCCCTGCCAGACATCGCTCCAAGGACAAAATAATATTTGGCTTTTTGAGAGAGTCCTTGCCCTGAGACGCACGTCACCTCTCTAGAAGGTCTGGTCCCCGTGGAGCACCGAGGGTCAACGGTTATAAAATCATACAAGGTTATCGAGTAAAACAGAGTTCAGAACATTCAAACAATATTTCTTGGAGCTCAGGAAGGTGGTATGGCCTAGGCAAAACTTTGTTTAGGTCATAATACTAAACAGTCGATGGGAAAAGCTGTTCATCCGTCTTTTTGTATTTGGAAGGAATCTTTGGAAAGTGCATCAAAACGCACTCACCCATCTGCACAAGCCCAAAACCTGACAGGGGTCCTTACTAGGGATGCACCAATACTAGTATGAGTACTCCGTACTTGTACTCACCCAAATGCTCCGATACTTACCTCCCATACCGAAACTTCTAGTCAGAGGGAGATCTCCCTCTGACTGGCAGTGCTGAGGGAGCATGGAGCTTGCTTAATTTCCAATCTGGAAGCCGGGTGGTGGGTCATGACTTGCCTCCAGGCTTCCTGATTGGATAAGAATGCGGCTTCACTTTCTGCTAAGCAGTAGACATGTGCACTGCCAAAAAAATCGTTTAGTTTCGTTTCGTTTTAAATTCAGATTTGTGTTATTTAGTTTTTCGGGATTCGGGTGTGAAAGTCAATTCGGATTCGGAAGTCTGATTCGGACAAAATGCGGTAGCGGTAGGTCGAACGTTCGTTTCGTTTTCTGTTCTTATTCGTTTCTTATTCGTTTCGTTCGTTTGCAGCAAAAGTGACATTTGAGGGGGAAAATATATTTTTCTCTTTCTCTAATGTCACTTTGCTCCAACGAACGAAACGAATAAGAAACGAATAAGAACCGAAAACGAAACGAACGTTCGACCTACCGCTACCGAATTTCGGAAATGGAAATTCGGATGCGTTTGCATTCGTTATGTCTGTAATTCGGAATTCGGATACATCCGAATGTCCGAAAATTCGTCCGAATTTCGATTCGGAACGAAACGAATCGCACATGTCTACTAAGCAGCCTGGCTTCCAAACCAATCAGGAAGCCGGGCGGCATGTAATGACCCGCCTCCTGGCTTCCTGATTTGCCAGGCTGCCTAGGAACAAGTGAAGCTGGCTTCCTAGTCAATCAGGAAGCCGGGAGATAGGTCATGACATGCAGCCTGGCTTCCTGATTGGCTAGGAAGCCAGCTTCACTTGTTGGTAAGCAGCCTGGCTTCCTAACCAATCAGGCAGCTGGGCAGCACATCATGACTCGCGTCCTGGCTTCCTGATTGGTCGCCGGGACGCAAGTAATGACATGGTCAGGAAGCCAGGCACCCCCGACAAGTGCAGTCAGTGTTCTTTTGCTAGAACACCGGCTTCACAGGCAATCAGGAAGCCAGGCGATGGGTCATGATCCTCCGGGCCGACTTCCTGATAATCGGGGCGCACGGCACCGGTACTCAATATCGGCAAATACCGGGGCAAAAAATATCCGTACTCGATACCGAAAAATCAGTATTGGTGCATCCCTAATCCTTACCCTTCCCTACTCTATCCAGAATAAAAAAAAGTATCTGATGCTCCACTTGAGATTAGAGTTCCAGGTTATCTTTTAACTCTGTGTGCATACCGACCCATGTGACCTGATGGTGAATGTCTTGTACCCCTAGAAGCTGAGAAGTATGACTTCTCTACACCTCTGATGAATCAAACTCCAAACCTCCAACTTTATCTTGTTGTGTTTTCCAGGATGAAGTTCGGCTTCAAGAAAACGTTGAGGAAGCCTCTGCAATCATCATGGGGCTGATCAAGGACCGGAACCCAGTGCTCACCGGGCAGATATTGGTCGCAGGAAAGTAATGTTGAGGGAATACGTATACAAAAGCTTTGTAACTGGTAATGTGCGCTGCCAAAACTTTCAGTGCAGTGGCTGTAGGTATGACAGTTCGGTACCTGCCGTGCTGCTTCCTCTACTGATACTGAATCTACATTCACCAGTAATTATAATGGAGTAACAACACTGACTTAGAAACATGAGAAAGAAAATTGGAACTGTTGCTCATAGTAAACAAGAAAGCCTTAAAGCCAAACTCCGTCCTTCCCTTCACTCTTGCACAGTAGTACCGGCTCCTCTCCTGGACTGAAATGGCTTCCTCTGATGTCACTGCACACTGGGAGCTTCTCACAATGTGCATTAGAAGCTGCAGCAAGTCAGATAGAGCTCCGCCTCATTTCCCGGATGAAGAAAATCCAGCATCATCTAGCTCCTTCCTCCCCTGACTGTCCCTGTCCTGCCCTTTAATTCGTTGGATTTCAGTTCTTTCAATCATGGAGTCTCAACATCACATGTCACGTAAGGAGCGGTGTTCAAGATGGCCGCTGAGTTGGAGAGATTTAAAACTGAACCCCGGCCTCCCCTTCATTCTTATATCTGACCTCCGGCCTCCCCTTCATTCTTATATCTGACCTCCGGCCTCCCCTTCATTCTTATAACTGACCTCCGGCCTCCCCTTCATTCTTATATCTGACCTCCGGCCTTCCCTTCAGTCTTGCACAGTTGTTCCGGCTACTTTCCTGGACTGAAATGGCTTCCTCTGATGTCACTGCACACTGCAAGCTTCTCACAATGTCCATTAGAAGGTGCAGGAAGTCACATAGAGCCCGCCTCATTTCCTGGCTGGAGGATGTCCAGCATCACCTAGATCTTTCCTCCCAGCCTGACCGTTCCTACCCTGCCCCTTTCATTCATTGGATTTCAGTTCTTTCAATCACGGAGGCTCAGCATCACATGTGGGTGCTACTGAGAGTGGTCTGCATGCAAATACAACCTGCCTAGGAACACCCACTCCTCCAGAAAGAGGAGGGTGTCAATCTGGAGGAGTGGGCATTCCTAGGTGGTCTGTACTCCTCCAGACTGACACCCGCCCATCAAGGCATTTTGATATTTGCATAACTCCTCCCAAGATCCAGCCCCCGGCTTGCATCAGGACTGAGAGGAGTACTGAGGCAGGTTGCAGGATGGAAATACATTTGATGTATGTATTAGGGGATTTTTATGTGTGTGTATGTTGGGGGATAATTGAATGGACTGGAAAAAACAACCCACAAAAAACACAAACAACCCAAAATGTCAAAGCCCAACGTCTGTCATATTAGCTCAGTGAATAGTAAGAAGATCGAGGGACAACGTTGCAAACACGCAGTGGACAAGCATCAAAGCGCACGGAAATGCAAGGTCTGTTTATTGCAGTAGCACCCCCTCTCGGGGGGGGGGAGGGGGGGACTTTACATTATTATATGAATAACCTTGTGTTCTTTTCAGCTTTTGCACCGCCGTACCCATTGAACTGGAAGAATGTGTATTATGTTTACCTGATATAATAAAATGTTTTTGTAACACTACTAATCTCAGACATGTTCTACGGCATGCTGACTACTATTTAAAGCCGATTTGTAGCCCAATAAAGTTATATTTACATTTCTGTTGCTCAGTTATGTTGTGAAATGTATTTATTATCTCTTATCACATGCGGTCACCCCTGTGAATAGACCATGCAGGGCAGCGGAGGAATGCCTGTGACCACTATGTGCTGAAGCCCCTGTGTGCTACAATAGTGGAGTCACCGGCACACCCCCATCCACAGCAACTACATAGAGCACATGTTTTCTTCATCCCTCTCCCTGATCAGACTTTTTGCAAGGGGGTGGGGGGGTGTTGTATGATAGTGACACTGCCTTCTGCAGACCTGGGACACTCTAACCGTGCTCCCGCCCAGCTCCTGGTAACCAATGATGTCACTGGTTGCCAGGAGATGGGTGGGACACTGGCTAGAGGCTTCCAGGTTGCTAGGAGCAGGGTGGGGAGATGTGTATGGCCATTGCATATCCCCCTGCCAAGGCTTTTAACAAACTGGGATGTTCTGGCCAGAAAGTGGCCGTCCATGCCGCTCTGCCTGCTGCCGCCCCTCCCCTCATGTGACCCAAAGAGATGCCAACCTCAGGCTGCCTAATAAGAGGGACATCCCTGTTTACAGTGCTTGATTCCAGTAACATTTCTTTAAAGGAGAACTATGGGGTTAGGGCACATGGGAGGCAATGGGAGGGCACATGGGAGGCAATGTGAGGACACAAACTAGCGTCCTCCCGTTACCCTAAGCTCAGTATATAGGCAGCTACAGGTCGCGGTATACTGAGACGCCGCAGCCAGAGTGGATCCCGACATCGATGTCGAGATCCGCCCAGCTGCGTGAGTGACAGATGGCTCGGCCTATCTAGAGGCAGAGCCAGTTGTACCCGCCCCCTCCCCCGTCCGTTCCGCCAGTCAGCGCTGGCGGAGCGGGGAGGGGGGAATCTAGCCCCACCCCTGTCACGGCCGAGAGCCGTGACAGGATCGAGAAGTGAGCGAACGCCGGTATGTGTTCGCTCACCTCCCGATCTACTGAGCCGACCTGTGACAGTCTCATTGTCACAGGTCGGCTAGAACTATGAGGTGAGTGAAAAGCACTCACCTCATAGTTATCATTTAACATAAAAGCAGTATTTATAATTAAAATATTTTTTACATTTGCTGAATTGTGATTTCTTTTTTAACCCATTTACTACAGAATATAATACTCTGTATCTGGCAGATAATGTAAATAATCGGATAATGTCTGCAACAACTGCATAATTATTCATCAGATGCAAGTCACTGGATTCAAATAAAGAAGCAATATGAATAATAGTTATGTGTTCTTTTTACAGCGGAATTGATACAACTGATTAACGCTTTATATGTGTAAGGTGTAAACGGCGCTCTGCTATGAAATGTATCAAGCAAACAAAGGCACATAAGGAAGGTTTGAGAAAAATGTTTTGAATAATTTTAGCACATATTTATTTTGAATGAATATTGCAGCATTTTCCTGAAAGTGAACCTGTGCTTTCTCCATGCTGGACACAGTAACAGGTTCACTTTACTGTAGAGATCTGTAGTGTGCATCTGTGGCCAGGCTATGGACATTAAAGTATGCACACAGTCTTAAAGGAAAACTATGGGGTCAGGGCTTTTCCCCATAGTTCTCCTAACACAACTATAATGGGTTATACAATTATGGGTATGCCGCTGGGGAAGTCAGAAATGGAGAAGGATTTGGGGGTCATTGTAGACCACAAACTGAAAGGTAGTTTGCAGTGCCAGGCTGCTGTAAACAAAGCTAGCAGGGTCTTGTCCTGTATTAAAAAGGGGATGTATTGCAGGGACAAGTCTATAATTTTGCCACTTTATAGATCATTGGTTCGACCTCATCTGGAGTACGCGGTCCAGTTCTGGTCACCAGTACTAAGAAAAGATGTCCTTGAGTTGGAAAAAGTCCAGCGAAGGGCAACCAAACTAATTAGGGGTATGGAGGACCAGAGCTACGAGACGAGGCTACTAAATTTAAACATGTTCACATTAGAGGTGAGGAGATTAAGGGGGGATATGATCTCCATGTACAAAATGTTTAATGGTGGTAGCAACATTAGCGATAAACTGTTTAAAATTAACTCCGTTACAAAAACTAGAGGCCATAACCTAAAATTGGTGGAAAAAAAATTCCAGCACAAGGTGCGAAGGGGGTTCTTCACAGTAAGATCAGTTAGGGTCTGGAACTCACTGCCACAGGCGGTGATTTCAGCAAATAATGTGGAATTGTTCAAGAAACTTTTGGACGATTTCTTAAGGGACCGTAATATACAGGGGTACGGGTACTCCTAGAATGAGATCCTAATAGGTTGGACTTGATGGACTAATGTCTTTATTCAACCTCAAATACTATGTAACTATGTAACTAGCGTCCTCCCTTGATCCAAAGCTCAGTATACCGCGAGCCACAGCTCGCGGTATACAGAGACGCCGCAGCCGGAACGGATCCCGACATTGCTGTCGAGATCCACCCAGCTGTGGGATTGACAGCTGGCTCTGCCTATCTAGAGGCAGAGCCAACTGTACCCGCCCCCTCCCCCACCCGTTCCGCCAGTCAGCGGTGGCGGATCAGAGCGGGGAGGGGGGGAATCCCTTCAGGGAGCCGTGAGTGACAGTCACAGCTCTTTGCAGGGATAGATCGAGAAGTGAGCGAGCGCTGGTATCTGTTCACTCACAACCCGATCTACTGAGCCGACCTGTGACCGTTTCATTGTCACAGGTCGGCTCAGATTATGAGGCTGAGTGAAAATCACTCAGCTCATAATTCTCCATTAACGAGCAGTAAAAAGCCTATAAACGAGCCACCTTGACCTTCGTAGCTGCATGTACTGTGCAGCAATTCATCATGAGAGTCACATTTTCTGAGGGCCATTGACTCAGTTATATCAGATCGGACATATGCTGCAAGCGATCCAAATTCAGATGGACTCCGCTTAAATATTTTTCACTTATAAAAACCTTTTATTTTACTGTTGCCTTTGTCTGTTTTTTGATATTTTGTCTTGGGTCACTTTTCCCATCATTAAGACGAAATTTTAAAATTGGATGATTGAACAATATTTTAAACGTTAAATCTCTGAATACTCTAGTTGGAAAGAAAAGGAACTTTGCCTATGTGAAGAAGCATATTGTTTGTGTATAAAGGGGTAAACTGGTCGGCTAACCTGCCTCAGTGACAATCACTCTCAACTTGCTGGTGCTTAGATTATTGTCCCGAGAGCTAGAAAATCTCTGCACAGGGTGAGGCTGAGTGTGTCATGGTTAGTGATTGCGGGAATACTGCAAGAGGTGATCGGAGGTTGTGGAAATACAGAAGATAATCGGAGACTGCAAGTCTCAAGAAGGGTCTGAAGTAGGAGATATTTCCTCTACAACGTACTGACTGAGCAGGATTTATATCCATTGGAACAGCAGGTAACATTCCTTGATCTATTTTATTCTTCACATGTTACACAAGACGTCTAGAACTCACTGACCATCAAAGCCTC